GCTGGATGGTGAATTCCAGCAGGCGATGATCGCTGTCGCCTTATAGACTAACTCATGCAAACAGGCATAGCTTTTGCAGGTGACAAGATACTTAGATGCTCCAGCATCTGTCACCTATGAAAACTTATAGCTCTCAGGTGCCAGCCTGCCCTGCCTTGTACTTTAGCTAGAGAGAGGAAGCAAGTGTGACCCAAGTTTAATGTCAGCTCACACTTATTTAACTCATGCGACAGCCGGCCAGGGAGCAGCGATGTTGGGTTATAACGAGACCAGGTCAGTGATGAAATAAACAGACAACTCTTGTCCTTAAGAAGGTTAAGAAACATGCAACATCCCTCATGTCCCGGCAGGTTACTGGGCCTCTTACACACATGCCATTCACCTCCTCCACACAAAAGAAGGCTCCCAGAACACGGCTCCTTCCGAAACACTACACAGCACGCTCGCGAGTGAACTTACCACAGGGAGCTCCGTCTCCTTGTAGTCCGGGTGTACCTAGCAAACAAGACAGACAGGAGAAGATGGACGGGCTGTGCACTGCGCTAGCGGGCAGAGTTCACAACGAGAGGGGAGCAGGAGAGCTACTCATGGAAGAGCACAAGAACAGTCATCCTAGGCCACTGGCTGGACGCACCAATGACGAGGAGAGGTAAGAAACGCCATCGCACGTCCCCGCCAAGCACTCACGGGTTTTTTTCCCCAACCCCAGTGCATGGCTTCAGGCCCAAAGAGGACGGGAGAGTTCACGTCTCTTGTGAGTATTGAGTTTGAAACGTTTTTAATCTAATGCAACTTGAAATGCTCGTTATCCGAGCCAGCACAGGCCTGACTCCTATTATCTTCTTGAACTCTCCAGTGTCTTGTACCAACAATCTCCTGAGCAAGGTTTGTGCTATACAAGAGGATTTCCTTCCCCCCAGTTTCAAGTCAGAATCACAGACGATGAGGGTGGAAGGGAGCTCAGGAGGTCACATCCAGTCCAACCCCCTGCTCCAAGCACGACCAGCCCCAACTACATCATCCCAGCCAAGGCTTTGTCTACCCGGGTCTTCAAAACAACTTAAGTTGTTGCCTGTTAAAACGTCATCTGCGTTTTGCATTACGAGAGACAGACAAGCATCTATCACTGCCTTCTCTACCCCACAAAGCACTCTCTTCTTCATCTACCATGTTGGTCTTTAAAAGCTTCCCCAAATTTTTCTACTTTTAAGACCTGGAGGCCTACCAAGGGTTCGGCCAACTTTTGTAGCCCATCCTCAAACCCTTAGTTTCTGCTCTCTTCTTGTTCAGAAAGTGTCCAAGTGAGAGAATGACTTCTACCATAATGTAATATTTTTACGCTCATCTGTTCTCAGTACGCTCCAGCAAGGCCGCTTGTTCAGACTACCCCTTTGCACGGAGCCACGAAGCCCAGGGAAACTAGCCACTTACTCCTACTCAACTCGATTTCTAAACCTGTTCTCAGCCTTTCCCCATCCCAGCATCCAGAAAGTAGCTTTGGGTTTCCCTGCACTGTTTCAAAATACCCACTGGGCCTCCATTCGCTTGACTGGCAGCTTGAGTTGCCAAGGAGCACTCATCTATCAACTACCAGGAACCAACAAGCCGTCCTTCCACACCGTCTCAGACTATTTTGGGTCACACCCCCCACATTAAGTTTGCTTTGTTTTGTGCCCCCCTGGGATTCTGCATTACAGTTGATGAAAAGGCACCCCTCACATTCGCTGCGGCCACCTTGTAACCTCACTGCCGCCCTTCCAGGAGAGAGGGGAAATCCTTTGCTTCCTTTTCACCCCACTTCTTGAATACCCTCCGCAAGTTTGCCACGGACCCCCGCTGGAGTAATGCTGCTCCAGACTAGATTATTTAAAGTTTCTCTCCTCTTCCACGTGTGTTGTATAAAGGGGCTTCTTACCCAGTCAACTGATAAAAGCTTAAACAAAAGATAATAAGCGCGCCTACTGACACGTGGTAAAGGGTGCTGGGAGTAGGCCCTGAGGAGGATGCCCCTGCTTACACTCCCTCTGGAGGCGCTCCAGCAGCTCCCCCTTCGCTGGTGAAGTGCAATGTGAAGACTTGAAAGAAAACTGAGTAAAGCTGAAGTGTGCTTGGCTAGAGACAGCACCATGCCCTGGATTCCCCCCAGCCCGTGCTGCTGTGCTAAAGCCAGCAACGGCCCTGGCCTGCATCTGACCCACGCTTCAGCCACTTCCGATTTACAAAAAAAAGCTCACAAGAAGCTTTTAAAACAAGAAAAGCACTGAGCAGCACCCTGATCACACAGTTCAGTTTCACTTCACTTGCTCTGAACGAACCATTCCAGCATCAGAAAAGCCCCAAGAAAATTCAACTTCACTGATTCAGTGCTGGTATCACTTCGGTGTCCAGCTGGGCAAATAACGGAGTCTCTGGGTCACTGGCCATATCAAGAAAAACAATTTGTTTGGGCCCAATAAATCTGGGTCGAGACATTGGCAACATGCTTCAATCTACACCACTTGAAAATGCTATTTTAGTCCCGGGGAAGGAAACTGCTCCACAAGAGACGGTTGTGGACCTGAACTTTCAAAACATTCAGGCCTTTTCGAAATAAAAAGCCCTGCCAAGGTATTTTTCAGATCAATTAATTTAATAACAATTCAGCAGGAGACACAGGAACCGTCCTGCCATTATCATATCTGCATGTATTGCTGAAAAGAAAAGCTTCTCCCAATTTAATGTCCGTGCTGGCCAGACAGAAGGAGTCTCTTCTGACACCAGTCACTTGGGGATAACTCCGTATCTGAACGTGTGAGCCACCTCCACCCAGATGTCTGCTCTCAGAGCAACAAGCACAGGTACCGCTGCTTTCCAGACGAGCCCCTGGCCACTGGATGTCACAGTACCACCTAGTTTAGGGGCAGAAAGCATTGAACATGCCACAGCGTCAGTGGTTACCAGCAGCTTAGGATAGACCACTGATACGGCTGCAAACCAAGGCCTCTCTGATCCTCCCGCTATAGCCATGCAGACCAATTCCAGGGCTCAGGGGACTGGCTCTTCGCATAAAGTCCTGACCGCATCCATTCGGCAGCCTTTCCCCTGGTCTGGGGGATAGCAGGGGAGATGGGAAGATTAAGAGGGCCCCTCCGACAACTGCTGTCATTAGGGCATCCCTGCCCTGAGTCCATCAACAGGTCCTCACTTCCCAGATACTACCAGGACAGCTCCAAAATGCGAGAGCATGTGGACTGCGACTCCTCATACAAGGGGCCTCCCCTCAGGTGTGGAGCAAATCCCAAGCTACCTTGAAGAGCAGCTAATAGCTCAGCTCCATCTTGCAGGGCTGCGGAGACAGTCCTTAACGACTGGTCTCACTACGTACAAGACAAGCCCTGGAGAGCCCAAGCTGCAGAAGTCAGCTCCTCCCACCTCCCTTGGGCCAGCCCTGGAGAAGCACCAGCCTGGGGCCTCAGCCGTCGCTCACACACCACTCGTGGCACAAGCAAGTGACTAGGAAGGAGGTTCACCCATGACACGGCGATGGGGTTTCTATCCCCAGCAAAGAAGGAACTAAAAGGAGGATGCTAGGATTAAGGAACGGAGCAGTAGCAGAATGAGTGTGTCAAAGATCCACTGGGCACAAGCACAAGCTCGCACTCCCCTCTGCCACAAATCTGCACCAATAGTGGATTTCTGGGATCCTGGCTTGGCTTTTTCCCTGCAGACATTTTGATCCAGTACATGTCCTGCTACTGCCTGAATGCCTGCAGGCCAGAAACCTCAACCATCATCATGCAGAAAGCCCACCGAGCAAATCAACATGCACAAATTCAGCATGTGCTACTGTATCTCAGCAGCTCTGCTCTCCTGATCCCACAGCAACCAGTCTCATCAGCCGTTTCCCCATTTCTCTTTGTGCACCAACCAGTGGAGATCAAACCAAGAACCCCGGCAAGGCCTGAATACGGAGGTCAGTATAAAGCGCTCAATGCAGAAGAGGAAGAGAAAGCACGTTCTATAGCAGGAGGAGCTAGTTCAGCATCAGGGAAGTCTGGTTTTAAAAAGGGTCATTTGCTGAAGTCTCTCTGGTAGGAGAGAGAACAAGTCAACATGGAACAGCCAACAAATCCACACCGATCAACTGGCCACATCCTGGAAGGGTCAGATTTGTCCAGCCCAAGACTTGGAGATTCAAGCAGGGCCCTTTTCCTTCTATTCCCAACCACCCAGGACACTCAACTGCAAGTGCTACCCAAAACCCCTCTCTCTGTCACTCCTACAGCCCCTTTCCTGACACTTGGGATTTAATTCTGCATCCAGTGACATACAAAATAGCTTCCAAACTCACCAAAAATATATCCCCCCCACCTAAGCCCTTGAGACCACAGCACAGAAACCAGAAGCTGTCTCCTGCATATTGTCCAGACTCTTAAAAGGAAAGGGACGTGTTAGGTTAGCAGATTATTTCCCAAGCGCACAAATATTTTGCCCAAGAGAAGGTTTGTTCCAGACCAGTCCCAGAGGATGAGAGCTCAGTCCCCCTCCCTGCAGGTGTCCAGGCCGGGAAGCTTCCCTTGATCCAGCTGTTGAGCTGCCCTAGTTCTTGCTCCCTTGCAGCCTCTCCCTCTGGGTCCCTTGCAGGAAGCTCCTAGCCCAGCTGGGCCCAGGGATGGTAGCATCCCCACCCTAGCTGCTACCAGAGCTGCGATCAGTCGAGTCTCCGCTGGTATCGAGCTCCCTATAGCTACATACTGCTCAGCTGTGGGTCAAAACAGTTATCACGATCACGAGGTCTGACAAATGAATAATGCCCCCAAAGCAACCGTTCTGAATGGCAGCAGGGCACCGATGGACTGGACACTTTTCTTGCCGTTTGCTTTCAGCCTCTGAGCAACTCTGTTTCTACTGCCAAATGCAACCATTTCCTGGGCACCAGTGACGAGTCCATTCTGAGATACCAGGGCTCTGTGCTAGTCCCACTGGTCTGATCCTCCAGGAAGATTCACAGCCTTGGTTTCAAGACTGTGCAGACCACAATGCAGTGAGCACAGAGCCAGGCACCCTCTTCCTGCACCGCGCTCTGCTCTGGGTGGGGGCCATAGCATTTATTTGGTGGCACCAGGCATCCTCGAATCTCTCTGAATGGACGTCCCATTGAAACTCCTGCACCAGGACATGTTTCAGGCTTCCACTCCGACACTTTCAGGACTGTCTATGGACCTGGGATGTGCTGTTTCCATGGGTGAGGCAAATCTTACATTCTTTCAAAAAAAATCTCAGCCTACATTTTTGGGAGGTCCTGACGGGACAATAGGGTTGAGCAAAATACGGTTCTTTGAGAACCCGCAGCACAGGCAGCACTGGGCTTCTGCAACGTGCTTTCTCTGAGCTGTTTTACAGTGCCAGGCAGCAGCTGTTACAGTCCTGTTGGTCTCAGAGCAAGGGACTCTAGACTGAAGGGGGACACCTAGTCCAACCCCACACGCACAAAATTTGCTGCTCCTGAACCATCC